TAGGAGGAGACACAAGTAAAAGCCTGACGGCTTTTCCATGGCTTGAAGCCTGATAGGGTTGATTGAACGCAACTTAAGTGTAACTATGACTACAGTTGTAACTTTTATTATAATCATGATAAACCAAATTTCACATAACACATGTGGAACAGAATGTATAATGAATCATTCAGACACAACTGTTTCTGTCACATGTGGAACGGAATGTATAATGAATACTTCAGATACAACTGTTTCTGTCTATCTATCTATCTATCTAGGTGTGTGTTTTTGTTGTTCCGGACTTTTTAAAATGTTTTGAAATATCAATCTATATTCAAATATAGACTTAATTTGTATTTGTTTTTTCAAAGAGTAAGTAGCTTATGGTTGATAAACTAGGCAGTTCATTTAATTAAAATACAAATCTCGTAATAGCCATTTCTTTCCGTAGATAAGTACACACCCTTATTCTTTGACACACTTCCTGTGTTATTTTTTCGTTTCTTCTAGTATTAACCAGTGTTTACAGTTTTATGAGCAGTGGGGTCATATGACCGGGACACTGTACATTGAAGGTCAGGATGAAAAAGAGGTGAACTTGTGGGGGTTCAAGTCAAAAAATATTGGTAAGATTGACACTTATACAATTTGAAGGTCTTTTCTTGATATTTTGTCAATAAGATATCAAACAATTGCAATAAAAATGCTAGTCTAAGTTTCTTGTTGCAACTTCGTATTGTACTAACAGTTCGTATTTTATGGTGGTGAGTGCTGTATAGATCTGTGTTTAATGAGGTTCGTGAACATTACTGTAAATAATACACAAGTGATTCACGTAAAGGAATCACACTATATGGGGAATTTATTAATGGTACAAAACATTACCACACAAAATACAAAAGAAAAGCAAACAAGTTGTACAATCACTAGTAGTTTGTTTGTGATCCTTTTGTTTTACAGAGTATTACACCTTGTTTTCATGCTACCATGTAGTTTATCAATGTACCATTATGTTCTGTATCACTCCCCACAGTTAAACCAAGTTATTGGTTGCCTATTGGTTCTTAGTTTTTATACAATCTCATACAGCCTCAAACATGTTCATATCAGGAATTTGTGCAGGTCAAGCCATGTTTGTGAGTATTCCATCAGCTTCCTTCTGTTAAGGTATCATTTTAACACATTTACTATATGTTTGGGATCATTTTCTTTCTGCAAGATGAATCCCTGCCTGGTGAATTGTATTCCCGAGGTAATGGCATGATGGTTCAGAATCTGCCTGTACTTGTCAGCAGTTAGGGTGCCATCAATTTGTACAAATCATTGATATTGACTAAGATTCTGTTTAAAATTTGTACAACTCCATAAGTTAGGCTTAACTAGACGTACATTTATAGATTATTTCCAAATTAAATCGAAGGAAGACTGAAACTGTTAACATTATTTAACACTGGTGTTACTTAACTTGCTTCTAAACTTGTAACTTGAAGTTTCTTTGTCGAGAGTTTATTTAGAAATGGACATGAACAATATTGTGGCAGATCTCTAAGGTTATCTGATATTATTTGTAATATAAAGTTCACAAACTTTACATTAATTCCACAGTTAAACCGAGTTATTGGTTGCCTATTGGTTCTTAGTTTTTATACAATCTCATACAACCTCAAAAATGTTCATATCAGGACTTTGTGGAGGCCAAGACATGTTTGTGAGTATTCCATCAGCTTCATTCTGTTAAGATATCATTTTAACACATTTACTATATGTTTGGGATCATTTTCTTTCTGCAAGATGAATCCCTGCTTGGTGAATTGTATTCCTGAGGTAATGGCATGATTGTTCAGAATCTGCCTGTACTTGTCAGCAGTTAGGGTGCCATCAATTTGTATAAATCATTGATATCTGTTTAAAATTTGTACTAATCCTTTATAATTCTCCACTGTAGATATAGTACATTGACAATGATACTTTTCTTCTCTTTGGTAGCTGTTAAACAAACTATCTTTGACCGTTGGTAAACAATTCAAACTTGGATTCATATGTAAAGAGTACACATCTCTACCTTTGATAATTCCACTGTTTGTGGTCTGATGCTCATTTCATCATTTTGGTTTGGTTACATCTTCTCAGCAGTGGTTTTCAAATCGCTTCACTTCCATCGAGACAACTTTGTGCTATTGTGTATCCTACTGTTCTTGATGTAACATTCTTACCTGTAATATTGTTGGCCAGGTTCTTGATGTAACATTCTCACCTATAATATTGTTGGCCAGGTCTGTAATGGGCCGTCATATATCAAAGTTAACATCAGTGTTGGAGAGTTTCAGTTTTCTACCACAACTACTTTCGTTATTAACTGCACCAGTTTCAAGTACCCTCATCAAAGCCTTGCATACAACTCCAACTGAGACATGGAGATTTGCCATGATTTTTTATGTAGAGTATCTTTGACCAGCCAGAAACTTTGATTTATACATGCATGTCATGTGGTGTTTGAGTCCTGGGAACTAGGACTTGATTCACACAATTCCTGTTACTTGGAATATTACCTGTACTTTTATAGGCTTTAAACTGGTGTGGCACTTTCTGATTGGTTGGATGGCGACCAATCACTCTGTAAACTATCAACATGTGACTATACTCTGGAGCAGTTCATTTGCACGTGGTATATGTGTGACATTCCCATAGCATTTGTCTTTTATATCCCTTTTTGATATTGATATAATTTATTGCTGAAGAGTTTGTGTGTATATAAAAATTTGTAAAGGAGAAATCTTGTTATCTGTATTTATTTTATGGCATGCTAAACAATCTAATCTTTTTGTGGCAATTAGGTGTTCAGTATCAGCAAAAGAAAACAATTCCACATAATATTGACAAACAAACATTTGTTATATAGAGATACATCACCTAGTTTATACGATCAGAACAACACACAGATGGAGTTGTTATTTTTTCTAATGACTTTTACTTGAGATAAAGATTCAAATAATAATAATATCTTCTCTAAGTTTGTTGACATACTTTCAGATAATAGGATTCCAGATGACCTTGCTAATTCTCTTCAGATATATGGCTACTTGAAGGTAGGAAACCACTTGTAATCAATAACTTAAATATAACAGATTAAAAAACTTGCTATAGTTGGAAAGGATGATTATTACATCTCAAATATAATATTGCTATTGAAATGTGAGGAGGTATTTCCCCCCATTAGCAAACAAAGTGAGGGGAACATGTCCTCCTGTCTCTTATGTAAATTATGCCTATACATGCTAATATGTCAGCTTACTTAAGCATTATTTCAGAATTTAATGGCAAATCTCAAGAAATTATTTTGACATGAATAATTTTTGTTCACAAGCACTAGATGGCCTTAGAAAAAAACTTAACCAAAAAAAGAACCTTGATATGTTTTAGTAATATGGGTGAAAAAATGCCTTTAAATTTACAGTTTGCCAATAATGAGTTGGATGTTATTGAATATTTCACACAGTAAATCCTTGTTTCTATGGTTTGAAATGATTTGATATACAGATAGCAGAATTTATATGTTTCTCAGAGTTACTTGTTTGTTACATTTAGTTATTATACATGTTTAACTAACTCGTTTTTAATTTCTCACACAATTTCATTGTGAATTAATCAGGAAACTTATCTACATAAAAAATATTTCCACAACAGTACTGAAGAGCTTTGTATCACTTTTCAATATCTAGATTATTTTATGTGATTAGCCATTATTTAATAGACATTACAAATTTTATTACGTTTCAAGGTTTTACAGTTGTTGTATTTTATGTATCTTTTTATTTGTGAAGATTTCTTTCTTAGATATTCAATAACTAGAACATCACACCAATGGTCATAATGTTTCACACATTTTGTTTGTTTAGCTGAAGTTTTGTAGAAAGTTTAGAAAATTCATGTTCAATACTTTTATTCTTTCAGGAGGGCTCATCATTTCATCTTGGGAAAAACGTGTTTGACTCAAGGTCAGTTTTTAAAGAACATGAGTACTTTTTTCTGACCTCTAAAATTTTTTTTTCAGGGATTAAAGTTTCTGATCTTGTTGTAATGATAAACATTTCAAGGATTAAAGTTTCTGGTCTTGTAATGATAAACATTTCAGGGATTAAAGTTTCTGGTCTTGTTGTAATGATAAACATTTCAGGGATTAAAGTTTCTGGTCTTGTTGTAATGATAAACATTTCAGGGATTAAAGTTTCTGGTCTTGTTGCAATGATAAACATTTCAGGGATTAAAATTTCTGCTCTTGTTGTAATAAGAAGAAGGTCTAACTGAATCACAATTTGTTTGTGGCCTATTTTACACTTCAATAATTAAACTTAAAAATATCCTAAGATAAAGAGGTACCTATGGTTAAATTCGATGTTTGTGTTAGGGTTAATCATTAACCGTGGTTAAATTCGATGTTTGTGTTAGGGTTAATCATTAACCGTGGTTAAATT